GTTTCAATTATTCATGGTCAACCGGAGTCTATATTAAATGGAAAATTTCAGGAATAAATAATTCATAAATGTTATCTTTTATTACAGTATGTTGTTACGATTGTTCTATTTCATTACTAGTTGCTATTAATCTCTTACTGTGCCTAATTTATAAATTAAACGTTATCAAAGGTCTGCTAATATAGGAAATGACATACTCTATATATAGTGTTTGGTACTATCTACAGTTTTAAGTCCTGGCAGAACATCTTGGAACACATGCATGGTGAATAAGAGGGTGACGATCGCATAAGCATATGCTGTAGCAGGTGGGACATTCAGGGTGTGGGAAGAGGGAAAGAGCCAACCCTGGAACGTGGTGTAACTTGAAGTGAAATTGGGGACCTAGTAGGCAGAGAGTCAGCAAAGATCTTTCAGAAGGGGCTGGGGTGACCAAAGCTGTCGTGGAAAAAGGCGGACTGGGCAGTAGTGCACAAGATGGGTGGAGGAGTGGAGGCAGAGGAGAACAATGGGCATGTCCACTGTCCAGGCAGGAGAGATGAGGGCTTGGGCCCAGGCAGTGGGAGAGGGGAAGAGGGATCCTGGAGCAGGTGGTGTTCCTAAGGTAGGTTCTGGAGATGATTGAAGGTGAGAAGTACAGCAACAGGGAGCAGGGACAACACTCAAGTTTTTAGCTAGAGGTTCTTTGAGTTTAAAGATGTGACTTGAGATACAATATGAGAAGGAATAGAATTTAAGGAGAAATTATTGAGATTAGTGCCCTAAATTAAAATGAAGATACCTGTAGGTTATGGAAGCTGATGGGACAATGATGGTAGGTTCAATAATGGACCCCCTCCAAATGTCCCCATCCTAACCATTGGAACCTGTGAGTAGGTACCTTACATGGCACAGGGACTTTGTAGATACTATTAAGGATCTGGAGATGGGAAGATGATCTTGGATGATCCAGGCGTGTACAATGTAGACACAAGGGTCCTTCCCTATCACAGAGGGAAGGAGGTCAAAGGCTGAGGGAAGACCGTGATATGATGATGGTAGCAGGGGTAGGAGTGGCTTAGTGCTGGAAGTGTACCATGAGCCCAGGACTGTGGGCAGCCTCTGGAACCTGAAAAAGGGGAGGAAGGTGAGTCTCCCCCAGAGCCTCCAGAAGGAAGGCAGCCTGGCCAACACCTTCGCCTAGTGAGACCCATCTGAACTTCTGACCTCCAGACTGGAAGATTAACAGATTTGTGTTGTTTTGAGAGAATCAGGTTGGTGGTGCAATTGGATCTCTGTGTCTGAGTTCCAAATCCATAGATTAAGCTAATCATTGTTCAATTTTCTTTTTGAAAAAAAAAAAAACTGCATCTGTTCTGAATACGTAGAGACTTCTTTTTTTCCTTGTCATTATGCCCCAAATATACAGTACAGCAACTATTTACATAGCCTTCATTGTATTAGAGAGTATAGAGAACCTAGAAATGATTTGAAATCTACAGGAGGATGTTTATAGGTTATAAACAAATACTACACCATTTTACATGAGGGACTTCAGCATCTTTAGATTTGGATATCCGAGGGGGTTTCTAAGACAATTCCAGTGGATACCAAGGAATGGCTATAATTTCTTATAGCAGAAAAAGGAAACTAATTCAAACAGGATCTCATGCTCTGTACTGACCATTTCTTCAGGGGTACTGAGTAACTGCTCTGCACTTGGCCCATCCAATGTGATTGGTCTTGGGGACACAGATTTCTAGCAATATGCTGCCATTAACCATCGTTATATTCCCTTTCAACTTATGCAGAAATATGTCATTGCCAACGCAGGACCACAATTTCAATTGATTTGTGGCTAGCCTTTTTCTTAACAGAGTTTAGAATAGCTTTTATATCTGCATCTTTTTGGATAGGTATGTTTGAGCAAATGCTTAAAATATGGTGAAGACAAGAAATCAAATGTAAGTTCAGAGATAAAACTTGCCATGTAGGTAAAGGAATCAAAATAATGAGACCTTCAGAAAATGGATAGAGTTGGAGAGATCCATGAAAACGACTGGTGGGACTAGAGGGGAGGTCAGAGGGAGACAGTGTGGCTGACCTGAGAACCAGCCAGTTTCTTTATGTTTGAAGCAACAGACAACTGGGCAGGAGCACAGCTCCTCAGCAGAGGTGGGACATGAAGGAAGAGTCAACTGGTGGTGGATAGATGGAACAAGGTAGGGAGAGAAATTACAGAATAAGTAGGAGGCCTTGGTGGGATGGATAAACTAGATGGTGGCTTGGGGCTTAGACCAGGGAGTTAGAAATAGGAAGGAAGATCAAGGGAAAAATCAAAGAAAGCATGTTGAAGAAAAGTTTGAAAGTGGTTGACAACACGTGGATATAGGGAATAAGGATCAGAAAGAGTGATATCATGTGTTATTTATTCATTTAGGAACAGATATCATTTGAGTAGTGTTATGGCTTAGATCTGAACTAGGCTCATGTGCTAGGCTAGGTAGGAATGTTCACAGGTGAAAAGACCAGATCATGAGGGCTTTGACATCATCACTGGATTAATCCACTTGATGGATTAATACTTTGAATGGATTACTGAGGGATGTTGAGAACTATAGGGCGCTGGGGCATGACTGGAGGAAGTAACCCACTGGGGTTGTGGCTTCGAGGACTCTATTTTTCCCAGACCCTCTCTCATCTTTCTCTCTGCTGTCTGCCTGCCCTGAAGTGAGCAACTTTTCTCTTGCTATGCCCTTCCACCATGATGTTTCTGCCTTGGAGGCAGCCTACCACAGACCGAATCTTGAAACCATGAGCCAAAATAAATCTTACCTTCTCCAAGTTGCTCGTGTCGGGTATTTTGGTCATAGTGATAAAAAAAAAGCTGACCAACACAAGCAGCTATTATGTGTCTTATGTGGATACTAAACTCTGGGGACTCAACAGTGAACAAGACAGTTGCTGACAAATGGCTTGCTCCTACTCCCAAAGAGCTCTATTTCCTCCTCTTCTGGGACATTGTCTACTTCTGTACTGTGACCCACAGTTAGCATGACCCTTTCCGTAGGGATGCTTAAACCATTTTGAAAATGCTACATGTCAAGTGTTGAAATAGCGGAAGGAAAAGTGAGTTGAGATCATGAATCTGCTCCCCTTTTTTTTCCCTCTGGGAAGCAAATAAACCTATTATTTATGTATGTAGAGGAATTTGATATTCTATATCTGTGGAATGCTGGCGTCTCACACCCCCCGCCCATCAAAGAATATTTTAAAAATGAATCTGAGCCTTTGGGGGTAGAGGACAGATATGGCAATCTGAAACAGGGCAGATTTAATAACTCAGGGAAGTAGAACTTTGTCTTTACATTGCAAAGGGGCACAGAGCTGCAGCCATCACTTATAGAAAGGCACAGGGACCAGATAGGAACGGTCCACCTGTATCTACAATTCAGGCCACTCTGTCCTCAGCCGCCACCTTATTGAGCCCATCAATGTCTCTCCCTGAACTTGGACTTTCGCCTGCTGGGCTCTCCCGGCTTGCACTCTGGCTTTCTTCAAACCCCTTCCTACATCTCATCCTCTGCTCCTTGCCTACCTCTCCCATCTCACCCTGCGGGCTGTTCCTGTTCCTCTGCTGGCCTCCAGTCACTTTGGTTTTATGTCTGTTTCTAGTCCTTTGAGGCCTCTGGTCCTTTGCACAAAGTGTTTTCTCTCCAACTGACAGGGCTGGCTCTTTGTATTTTTTTTGGTCTCCGTTTAATATTCAGAGCTGGGGGTTCTTCCCTGTCACACCATCTCTTGTGATTATTGATCTCAGCCCATTGCTTCTCCCATACCACTTACCATAATTTGCCATTATTTGATTTGTATGTTTGTTTGCTTTTTCGCTTGCCTCCTGTAATGTCAGGGTCTGTGTTCATTTTATTTATTGTGTATCCCCAGGATTCAGCCCAGTGCTGGCTACTCTCAGGTAGTCAGTGCATAGTTGCAGAATAATCGGCGGCATGTTCAGTGGGTGCAGCTTGGACAAGCCTCCAACATGTCGAAGGCAGCTACTCTTGACTTCTACTTCCTCATAAAAGGAAAGGTTCATGGGTTAAAAAAAATATTAGGGTACCCATGATGGGGCCCCAAGTTGACCTCTGTTGAATCTTGGACCGTACTGAATACTTTGTTTTGTGATGGCAGCACTCTTTTGAATTAGTTCCTAATTTACTTTCCAAGAATTTTTACGTGTCCTAGCAATGGGGATCTAAAAGTTCCCCTATTTTATAAACATCTTTAGTATTATTAATTCTCTATGAAGAACACAATAAACATTCCAAATCCTGGCAAAGGAAGTTAAAGATTGAGAGTTAAGTCTAGATAACTTAGAAGATTATGATTTTTACTTTTATTGAGGATCGACAATGTTATAAATTGTCTTTTTAGCTTAATTTAGGCAAGCTTCCACTTTTTTTCTTTTACTAATCTGCAGTTTACTCAAATAAAGTTTTCTGGCACAGCTACAGCGGATATAGAAGTTTCTTTTGAATTGCACTGTGTACTATCTGTAAGCAGAAAGCCCTGGGTGGTGGCAAACTGAACTTGATAGCTCAAGCAATGGGTAGGTAACCCGCAATACAAACCTGGCCTATCTGGGGACACCCTGGGACCAAGTTTCCTTGGCAAAAGGCCAGAGGGAGTCCAGCATTCAGGGTAGATGTCTGCTTCTATGAGGAGGTGGTGGGTGACTGCAGGTGATATGTGTGGCAGGGAACATGTCCATGCTTTGGAGGGACTTGGTTATCAGATTGTGTATAATTCAAGCAACAAAGTGGGAGAACTGTTGCTGGGAGACAGAGGGACGAGCCCTGAGCTGATTCAGAAGTTGGGAATGAAGGGAAGAGAGCGGGGATGCAAATAGGAAAGACAGGAGAATGAATGGGACATAACTTTCCTATGATCATATATGAATACATGACCAGTGTAGCTCCACATCATGTACAACCACAAGAATGAGGAGTTATACTCCATGTAGGTATGATATGTCCAAATACATTCTACTGACTAAAAAGAAAAAAAAAAGAAAAAAAAAAACAAGTTAAAAAAATAAAAGTTGATAGGGCAGTTTTTTAGTGACTGTGGTCAGGCAATTGGTTGAGAATCTGAGGGACTTGGGAGCCAGACAGTTCATTTCCCTGAATAAGAGAAAATGATCTCTTTTCTTTGAGCTATTAAAATCATAGTAAACTAAAATATATCATATTATTTTGTAGCCCTAGTGGTTTTTGAATGGCGCTAACGATCATGTATTTTTCTTGCTTATGGATCATCTCATTTACATCCGGTGGAGATGTAAATGTTCTTTGGTCCATGCAAGGAAAAAGAAGGGAATTCTGACTTCAGTAAAACCTAACTCATCCCCCAATTTATTCAAATCATATTTGAAAAAGAGAAATGGAATTAAGGGGGATAAATTTTAACAGTGCAAAGCCTCTGCTAGTAAAAGATTAAGGGGTATGTGGCTTAGCATCTTTTAATTATTTTTTTTTTCTTTTTTGCATCTTGAATATACAGTGTTTGAAATCTCTGGTTGGATCAACATTATTTTGCTCAGAGGTTTGTGGACTTTGCATACTGATTCTTTCCTGTTTCCAAGTACATTTGCTTTTAGGCTATTTTTATTCACTTTAAAGGAATTTTAATAACTTTCTGTTGACAGCATGGACAGCTGGTCTTGAGAATTAAAGAAAATTCACTTGCTGACTGAGGAAGGAAGTGACATCAATGAGCTTCTAAAGTCAGCCCAGAGGGGGAAATTGGCTTGTGAGAGAGTAGCCTTTCAATGCACTGTATTTATCGAGCGATGCCTTGAGATGCAAATTGCTGTATCAATCAAACCTATGGTGCCTACCTCCAACCAACTCCGTGCAAACCGAAGGAACAATGCCCTGAAACGCTGAGAAGAAAAAGGATGAGGGGTGCAGGAACCCAGGGGCGAAGTGAATTACGGGCGCTCAGGATGCTGCCTGGCTCAGCTGATACTTCATTCTCTGTCAAGCCTCAGTTTCTTTGTCTAGAAAATGAGTTTGATGTAAACTGTTGGTTGAAGTCAGTCTGTTCCCGTGACGGATGGGGAAGAAGACCGCGAACTAATAGATATAGTGTAGACATGTCATCTTGCCACTTTTGTCCCAGAGAGAGCCATCAATTGCTTTTTAATCTCCTATTGAGGCTATGTAGATCCCTAGAGATTCTTGGGTGTCACATCATGCTGCTACCTGGCTCTCTAGTACTTTTAAATCTGTATTTGCTGTTGACAGTGAATCTGGACTTTCAATAATAATGATAAAAGGAAAACCAATTATCATTGTTATGGTCGTGAATGATGCAAGGCTCATCATGGGCAGAGAATTCCCTGTCGCTGTTTTTCCAACACAGTTGTGTGATTGGATGGCGTGTGTGTGTGTGTGTGTGTGTGTGTGTGTGTGTGTGGTGTTGTGCACGCATGCATGTAGGAGGGTAGACATACACACCTGTATGAAAGACAGGCAGCAGGTATGATTTGTAGTTATACGCTGGAAAATTAAGTTGCTAATTATTTGTTTCCTACTCTGCTGCGTGTAAGGTGGCTACAGTAATGGTTCAATAACAGTTAAAAATGGAGTCTGAGTTTAAAATCTAGAGTCATGGGAATAACTCAGGCCAGGAAACAGGTGCATGAGCTGGCTAATGTTCTTTTTGTCTGTCCACATATTTGGGGCATTCAGTTCAATTTTCAAACTTTCATGATGTTAAATATGTTACTTGAACCAATTTAAAAATATTGATTAAATTAAAAAAAGGTATAAACTCTCGCCTGTCTTAGTCTTCAAGCCAAAGGCTTTCTAGATTGCCTCTCAAAACTGGAGATGCTTTATCTCCAGCGAGACTCATCCATGAGATCCTACAGTGATATTTTAATGAGCATCTCTTCTGGACAAGGTAATATTCTAGGTGCTCTGGAGGAACAGAAATAAAGTAGAGAAAATCAAATCATGGGGCTGTCAGCTATTTATAGTAAATTGCATATTTAATCAGGGATACAAGGTATTTGAATCCTGATACGGTAGCGTTAGTGATGGGGTCAGACTTTCAGACTTTCCTCGTCTTGACTTGGCCACGATCACTCCATATATGTTATTTGGCAGATTTCTTCACATTTCTGTTTTAGTGCACAACGATGGGGTTATATAAATAATAAATACTGCTCATCACTGCGTAAAGTCTTTGACTCTAAAAAGGATGAGAAGGACTGATGATTTCCAAAGACTTGGCAAATAACAACAACATAAAAGATGCAAAGGCCATGTTTAGGGGAATGACCTCGAGGGGCTTCTTGGAGGAGACAGCATTTGATCTGGGCAGGGATCAATAGCAGTTTGATGAGGGGAACAGCATTTCATTCCTCAGGATAAGCACGAACAAAGGCACAAAGCCCGAAAATGCCTGTGTAAGGAAGGTGAAGAGTTCTGGGTAGAGAATAATAAAGGACACGGTCAAGTGTCAGAGGGACCATCGTCATGGAGGACCTTTCTACTTAGGGGATGATTTTAGATCTATCTGGTGAGGGGGTTCTCAAAGACTTTTGAGCCAGGGGATGATCCAAATGATGTCTTACAAAGATTCATCCAAGATTAATCCATGGTTTGAGGATGAGGATTATGTGAACAAGATACAGGAGCGTAGATGAATGTGAGACACAGTGTGAGAAGAACAGACTAGGCAGAAGGAGAACATAAATACCCCCTAATTTTCGGCAGAGAGATGGTGGAGACTAAGGAAGGCTCTCTAGTTGAATATAAAGAAAGGAATAAATATTCTTATGGTTTGGATCTGAATGTCCTCCTGAGACTCATGTTGAGGGCCTGGTCTCCAATGCAGCAATGTCCAGAGATGGGCCTTCTGGTAAGGGATTCCATCATGGGACTCTGCTCTCATCAGTGGGTTAATCCATTGAGGGATTCATAGCTGAATGGATTATTGGGGGGGTGGAAACTGTAGGAGAGAGAGAGTTGAAGAGAGTGAGTCTTTAGGGTGTGCCCTTAGAGACTATATCCTGTCCCTGGACGTTTCCTCTGTCTGTCTCTCTGCTTTCCAGTCACATGATGGGTGCAGCTTGGCTTCACCAAACCCTTCCACCATGAAGTACTGTCTCACCACGGGCCCAGAAATAATGGAGTCAGCGGACAATGGACTGAAGCCTTAGGACCTGGGACACAAAATAAATCTTTCCTCCCTTAAATGGTTTATCTCATTTTGTCACAGAGACAAAAAACAAAACAAAACAAAACAAAACAAAAAAACCCAAAAACCAAAAACCAAAAAAAACCCTAACCAAATAGAAAATTGGAAAACAGCTGCATTTTATTGATATTTGAATCATTTGATCACTATTTAGATAATGGATTGCAAATTTTACATTCTCCACAGTGAATGGGAAGAGAGTCCTTCTCTGAGGTACTCTTAAGGATTTACCACCAGGAATTAGAATATTTTAAGTTTAGTTTGAGAGTCTAAGTTCTCACCAGTTGTGGAGTTATAAGGCAACTAACTGCCAGTTTTGGCAGATGAAAATAAGGGCAAATTTCCTTATTTATAAACTACCCCATGTATAAGTGGTCCTGGGCAAGTAACTTCTCTGAGCTACCTTATCTGTAAAATAAGGTTCATAAATATACTTACAGAATTATTTTTGGAGGGGGGAGTGGGTACCAGAGATTGAACTCAGGGGCACCTAACCACTGAGCTACATCCTCAACCCTATTTTGTATTTTATTTAGAGACAGGGTCTCAATGAGTTACTTAGTGCTTCACTTTTGCTGAGGCTGGCTTTAAACTGGAGATCCTCCTGCCTCAGCCTCCCAAACTGCTGGGATTACAGGTTTATGTGCCACAGCATCTGGCACAGAATTGTTTTTGATGATTAAAAAAATTCACATATGTGAAGGACTTAGCACAGCACCTGGCATCAATAATGAGCCAGTCTAGTACTCTCCCTCATGTCACAGGCTACCCAAGCTCAGGCTAATAAAACCAGATTATCTAGAAGCCAGATGAAAGCTATTTTCTAATGTGGTTAAGAAGAATGTATGTAATCCCTGCGGCTTGGGAGGCTGAGGCAGGAGGACCAGCCTTAACAATTTAGTTCAAAGCCAGCCTCAACAATTTAGTGTGGCCCTAGGCAACTTAGTGAAACCTTGACTCAAAATAAAATATAAAAAGGGCTGGGGATGTGGCTCAGTGGTTAAGCACCCCTGGTTCCAAAAAAAAAAAAAAAAAAAGAAGGAGAAGGAGAAGGAGAAGAAATTTCAAGATTGCAAAAATGCTTTCTTATATGACCAAGGAGTATGGAAAAGAACTAAATAGAATATGAATTTTAATGCAAAAAGTAAAAAAAATAAAATAAAATAAAAATGAAAAAAGAGTGAGATTTAAATGACTAACAAATAGTCGAGAACTTTAGCATCACCAAATAAAAACAAAGTGCACAGAATCCTGCTTTTACCTTAATGTATATATGCACAGACATGAATTCAAATTCGGTCCATGGTCTCCATTCCCCAGTTTGCCAAATGGCTTGGGAGAAAGAAGGCTGCCATTCTCACTCCTGTGGGGGAAACCAGCTGAGAGAAGCACAGCTGGGACTTCATGCCACACCCAGGCCTGTGGTTCTCTGGGGAACCAACTCTGATTCTCAGGCAAAACATGCCTTGAGAAGAAAGGTGGGTACCGGTGTCTATCGTCGTTTCACTTTATATGCTTCTCAGGGTAAATGATGATATGGCACCTACCACTGGAGGGTTAAATTCATTTTCTTTCCTTTATATTCATGAAACTCTTAATAGAGACTGAGCTTTATTATTTCCTTAAGTTTTCCCATCCCAGGTGTTCTTGGCTTCTAATTATCTCTGGTGAGCACTCAAAGTCTTAGTATAGTCAGGGAAATCAGGGAAACTGTAAATCACACAATCAACCAATGGAAGACACTGGGTCTCATGATCTCTTATAGCAGGATCCACACTCTTAGTAAAAGTAAATTCTTCCTCTTTAGCTTTAGAACTGGTGAGAAATTCTAGCTTTTTAAAAAACTCGAACTGAATTTTGAAATGAGACGCCCCATTTTTTTTTCTCTGTAAATTCAAATAACAATTTTTCCCCCAGAAAAAAATATTAAAACAACACACACCCAGATGAAGAAAGCTGGTTTGTCTCTTAAGTTAGCTTTAGAGTACTAGGGACGACAGACAATAAATATGGCTATTTTAAAATGATCTCTTGTCTGTCCATACATCAACAATCAATGCTTAAGGGTGGAACTTGCTAGAAGGATTGTTCATGCTGAGATTGTTGATTGGTCTCTCAGCTTTTCCCACCCGAAAGACATGGCTTAAATGTACCTCCAGAAAGGTTGTTGGGATAGTGTAGACCAAGATTCTGAAGAAAGAAAAATCGAGGCTGTGCCTCTGTCAGGGGTCGCTCTGTTGAGCAGTGGGTAAACCTGCAGCATCAGGAGCCTGTGGCTCAAGTAATGGTTCAAGTAACAGAGACCAAACATAAATGGTAGCTCTTAGATGGCCCCAGTGTGGCACCATATTTTTAGTATTAACCTATTGGATATTTTCCTATGTAATTCTAACAGCAGAGGATGGTTCCAAGATTTTTTCGATTTCATAATTTTTTGGCCTTTGGGGATTTTTCCATTTGATTCCTTCTTCTATGTTTCAAAAGTCTTAAGTATCCTTCTAATTCTAATTCCCTTTGAGGGTGAGAGCAGAAGGCTTTTGAGGGGTGAGGGGTTGCTATAAAACCAATTATTCAGTGGCAATCTATGAACTTTTTACCTATTTCTTAAGTGCCCAAAGGCAGAAATGATAAAGTGATCTATGACTGCAGTCAATGAATGTATCATAGAAAATTCTTTAATAAGATTTTTATTCATTTGCATCATTAAAATTAAAGGGGAAATAATTTATTGTTCAATGGATTAAAAACTGATTATCATTAGCTTTTTGTAAAGCACAGTTTTTATTTCTTGAAGTTCACTTTTTTTCTTAGCAGTATATGAGTGGATTGCTTTTCACAATAATGATAGAATAATTTTTCTTCCTTTCCTTTTCTTTACTTCTATTTGGAAAATGTGTACCTCTGGTCATATTTGGTTATTTCTATGAAGGTATAACTTGAACAAGTAACTTAAACTTATGAAGCCCTAAACCATTTTATGCATGAATTGCTACATGATTTATCATCTTAAAAATCTCCTATTCTTCTATTTTTCCCTCAAAAGAACAGAGAACATGTGTTTCATAGCTCAAGCCAGCAGCACTAATTCTGCAAGAGTGCTACAGTGAGTGTTTATCTCACTGTAATTCTTACATTTAAACACACCCAATTGGTATAAATAAGAATTTAAGATGGCAACTTATTTTCTCTCACTGCCTTGCTCTATCCATCTTTCTCTCTTAACCAAGTTAGGGTCAATAATGTTTGGTAGTTTGCACCACCAATCACAATCTTCTCCAACTGGAAAGTCCTTTCTCCTTGGCTTTGATTAAATTCACTACTTATAGAGAGTTTTCTTTTTTCCTAGTTAAAAGATATTTGCTGTACCAAAAAAAGAAAAAAAATGCTAGTCATGATAGCACGATGCTGATTTTTGATTCAAATAAAAAATACATTATGCTTCCTCTGTAACAGCACAGACCTAGACAGGGTCTGCTTGAGAAAGCAGTGTGTCAATATTACTTTTTATTTTAAATTGCTATCTAAGGTTTCTTTCACACACATCAGAGCCTGTTTAAACTCTAGATCAGTC